AAGGTGGAGGTGGTGGAGGTGGAGGTGGTGAGGGGGGGACTGGAGCCTTTGTTTGGATTGCTTGGTGTTTTGATGGGGATGGTGTAGGTGGCGGCTGCAAGATGGAAGCATTCATGAATACACTTTGGATTGTTGGAGGAGGTGGAGGTGGAGGTGGAGGTGGAGGAGGGCATGAGATTTTGATGGATGATCCTGAGACAGTGGGTGGTGGAGGGGGCGAAGGAGATTCATCTTTGATGGATCTTCCTGAGAATGCAGGTTGTGGAAGGGGCGGAGGAGGAGGAGGAGGAGGCGGCGGGCCTGCCTTTTTTGCTGCAGGAAACACAAGTTGAGTAGTTGCATAGGAAGGAAGGCCTATGGCATATGTAACATCAACCATACATGAATCAGGAGATGAAAATGGGCCTTTGATGGATGATCCAAATGGCAATGGTGGAGGAGGAGGTGGAGTTGGAGGAGGAGGTGGATTGGAAGTTGGAGGCAAAGAAAGAGGTGGTAGTGGAGGTGGAGGTGATGGAGATCGAGGGGAGAGAGAAGTTTGGGTTGAAGAATTTTTTAATTTAGTGCCCAAGCTGTGAGTTTCAACTAATGGCACTCTGGGAGGCTGTTGAGATGGTGGAGATTGCAATGCAGGAGAATGGGCAGCTGTATGCTGGCATGAAATTGATAAATGATCAAGGGCATGTTTCGAAGGCTCTATTAATGGAGGAGAAAGTGATGGCACACTGCCCACTGAAGAAACATACCCATCCAAAGAATTACAGTCTACTAAACGATCCATAACATTAATACTTTCATCATTTGTCTGAACCGAGGGCATGGCTAAAGCAGGTGGTGCACTGTTGTATCTAGATGGAGGGTGAGAAGGCCTATATGATGATGTCAAATCAGAAGCCTTTTGGGGTGATATCCACCGAGCAACAATTTTAGTTTTGGCTGCTTTTGCATGTAAGTTTGTCGCTTCTTGATGGCTACTCTTTTGTTTAGCTGCGACAGGATTAGAAGGAGGCCGGCTATTTGTTGGGAATTTTTTCATGGGAGGCAAAACCTTCTCATTATTCTGCCTCTGAGTAATACTTCCCGTCTTCTTATTTGTAAACTTTGCCTCAACCCTTGCTTCACAAACGCTACCATTACTTTCTCTTTCAAAATCAACAGTTTCTGCAGCACAAATTCTTTTGCTTGCAGCGTCACTCAACCCAAACTTTTGATTAACATCACTTACAATAGATTTCCTAGATATAGAAATCATATCGAGATCACTTTTCGAGACAGTTACTTCCAATGCACCCTTATCTTCAGAATCTGAAACGTGGGTATCGAGCATGTCATCTGTAACATCCTCACCATCATTCTGGTAAAAAGCTCCTTTGACTAAACATTCAAGATGGATTGGGTCTCCTGTACTCCTTTCTTCCATGAGTAAGGGATCTAGAACCCTACTTTTCTGCATGAAATTGTTGATTTCTGCTAACTTCTCCCTTTCCACCTCATTCGCCTCATCTAATGCTATCAAATTTTCACTAATAGTTGCTTTATCACAAATAGTAAAGTTTGGTCCAATTTCTCTCCGCTCGGTAGCAGATGATGTTTCCAACCAGCTATCAGAATATGCCTCTACCTTAATTTTCAAATCATGCTGGGAATCATGTGTATGTAGTTCTTCTACTTTATGATCAACCACACTTAGACTAGTTAAGTCGTGATCCCTGCCATCCAAAAAAGATACTTCCCGTGTAACAAGGCTATTCATAGCACTACTATCAAAAAAAAATGTTCTTTTAGCAGTAGAGCCATCCATACCCTCTTCAGAAACACTATATTCTATTTTGTTGTTTCTTCCATTTGACAGTGCGAGGTTCTCCAACTTGCCAATTTCGCCATCTATAGTTCTTGTCTTCTGGAAGAAATTGCTTATTACTGATGAATAAAATGTTTTGGCCTCAGAATCATCGAAAGATTGTGCTCCAGAAGATTCTTCTTCAACCGTTGAAGAAAGAGCCTCTGTTTTCCCCAACAAACTACTGCTTTCTAACATTCTCTTCTCCTCAAGTGGAAACACATCATCCAGCATAATAAGTTTTTCAGTAACATTAGGTCCAGAATCAGTGGTTGCACATGTGTCCTTCACTTCTATTTTTGTAAGTTCAACCAGTGCATCAGTTCTATCAATTTCATCTGGTCTCCCATTGATGGAACCGTAGGAACTCTGCTGTGTAATGCCATTTTCTAATTTTTTCACATCTTTATCAGCTACAACATGAATTTCTGAATCTGGAACATTGTCATCCACTGCACTTTTTGTACGAAGTATCTGAGTATCTGCATGCATTTCTGAGGTGCTGAAAATCTCTTCTGCCTCAAAAAACTCCTCTGTGGAAGCACCTTCGAAGTCACCATCATCATCATCATCACCTCCAGTTGCTGCTTCTAAGTTCATTTCAGATTTAGCCACATTAAAGTCTGAAAAGAGTACCTGTTACGGGCATGAATGTGCGTTCAAATTTCATCATAATAGAAGATACAGTACCAATAATGAAAACGTACCTCTACTTTGAAATCTCTGGGAAACTGATCCTTCACATTCCAGACAACATCAATTTCCTCATTGTTCAGCAATAGTATATCAGACTCAATAAACGCAGTGTTAAACATGACTCTGAACATCATCACCTCTCGCTCCAAATCCTCATCCACATGGATACACTCAAGGACAACATCTCCTTGAACACGACATCTAGCACTTATTTTTGGGTCTGCATTCTCCTCCTGTAATTGTTATAGACAATCAATAAAGCAGAAAGAAAATTGCATTGCTTAAGGGGCTGTTTGATTAGGACTGTATTGCATTCAAAATGTTGAGTTTTTATATTTCTATCTGTTTGGTGGAGTAAAAAATAAACTCAAAGGCAAATTTTTGAAATTTTCAAAATGCACCCTTTCATTTATTTTTAAAGAATTTGGAATTCACTTCAACCAGGCAAATTCCAAGTTGTTAAGTGCTCCTTCCCACAAACTGCTCATCCTAGCCTGTTCTCAAGTGTCCCTCAAAAATGCAATGCTTGTGTGCCGTGTAGCACTCATACCAACTCCAATCACGGCATCCAATGATAATGCCGATGATAGTGTGATAGCACTCATATTAGCTCCATCGCTCATCCCAAACCACCCCATGTTGTGTCAACCACAATAGGCATCGTCGACCTCGTCGAGAAAGACAACATCGTCGTGCCCTGGCTCTTTGCATTTAGGCATTTAGAATTCATTTTGCATCAAACCAAATATAACAAAATTATTTCATGAATTTATTTTACAAGCAACCAAACAATTTTGAGTATTTCAAATTTATTGAGTTTAATTTACACTGCATTTAAATATATTGAATTCTAAATACACAATCAAACAGCCCTTAAATCCACCAAAAATAAAAACAGAACCTGTCTATAATGCCTAACACTTATTCTGGTCCTTGGAGTTGAAAAAAGTATCTTTGAGCTCCTGTTCGTAGGATTCAGAGGGTCTTGGCCATAAATTCGAACAACCGGTCTGCAACCTCCCATAGTATCAACTTGTGGAACAACCCTAAGAATGATGCATTCCAACATTAAGGGTTTATCCTTAGGAGGCCAATCTGACCCACTGCCTTGTCTGGTTATGTACTGCAAGTATCTCAGGTGAGAAGGTTGCGGATTCAACGAGCAAAAGAGATGAAACAATTCCTTGGGGGCTTGCTTATAGACCATTTCAAGGGTCTTCTGCTCCCCATTGTACTGCTTCCTGTAGAGAAGAAGGCCTGCGAGCATGAAAGCAAGAACAGGCCAACCTCCCCTCTCACAATGCATCAGTAAAACATTATGTTGCCCTTCAAGAGACAACCAGCTCTCACTAGACCTCAAGAAATGATGGATCATCTCCAATGGAAGTAAGGGACAACCTTCGTATTGCCGAGGGTAGTCCATAACTGTCATATCATACTCCGACAAAATATCAGAGATATGACTCTTCTTATCCCCTTCCCTAAAGTTGCATACCATGAATGAGGCATCAGGAAAGTAATCTTGAAGCTGGGAAACTATAACTCCAAGGTAATCCTTGTACTCTTTATCTCTAAGAGTTTCGGAGGAGAAGCAACAGTCAAACACTGCAAATGAATAGATGTCTTAGCAACAAAGAATTAATGGTTTTTTTTTAATTTTCAAAACAATAACTTCAATAAAACTCTCTAAGCCGACCAATGGCCACAAAGACGGCGTCAAAGGAGAAAAAATGAATGAAGATTTCAACTTTCCAAACTCAAAAATTAAAAACAAGCAACGTCAACGATTATAGAGCATAGCCAACACAATGGACATCCAATTGAAGAGGAAAACAAAGCTTCGCATCATCTTTTTTTTTTTTGGGAAATTTTTGGGCTTCGCATCATCTTTAACTAGATGATTTGGAATTTGACACGTGTAGAGCCAATCAAAAGAAAAAAACAAAAGAATCCTGTTATTTTAAATAAAAGACAGAGAGAGCAAAACAAACGGCCAAATTCAACAAATCAATAATATCCCAAAAAATACTCCTAAAATTACAAACATCGAAATACCGATCCCAGCATCATTTACAATCCAAGATCTACGCATCATCGAGACCGCACTTCCCTCACAGCAGATCCCAATCCCCAAAAAATAATAAATAAAAAAAACGAAATCACTACAAAAAATACATGAAAAGCACCAGCAAACGTGGACAAAAATCTAACACATAGCAGACGAATTACCATACACCCTCTCGGAGATCTCCAGCAACCGATCCGGCGGCTTCCTGTAGAACAACCTCCTGAACAGTGCCATCTTCGTCCAGAGCTGCCTACCTCAGCCGCCAGTCCCGTCAGCCGGCTATCACCGCAGTGATGCCCCACCTTGAGGCATCCAACCACCCTCGAGATCGAACAGCGGAGATTCAGAAGAAGAAGAAGTTCGCTAGGGTTTCAAAAATCACGATACTGTCGTTTGCCGATTCCGAGCTACTTTTTTATTATTTTTTTTCACCGTCTCTTTCTTGTGCTTTTCCTGACTGTGAAGCCTTTTTGTCTCCCGTAGAATAGGTGGAAGAACTGCGGAGGCGAGAGGAGAAGAATTGACCCGTAAATTTAGTTGGGTGCACGTTTGGGTGCACAATTTTACAACGGCGCCTCCAACCGAAAACCCCTTTTACACTTAAAAATGCAGTAAATTTTCAAAATTTATTAATTCATTTCAATTTAACTCCATTTTTTTAGTTATTATTAAATAATACCTAGCAATATCGAGCAAATACCGAGTTTTTTTCAGAATTTTGTCTCCCACCGGACGTTCCTCTACGTCCTTACACCGAACCTAATAAAAGTTCGAATGGAGGACGACAAACAACCATATGCATTTCAATTGGAGATGATCTTATCAAATATGGCGAAGCAGCGCTGACAGAATGGGGAACTATGGTTTTGAAACTACTTTTTTACTGCTTAAAATAGCAATAAGAAAATGAAATTTAAGACTTCTTTCAGGCATCTTAATTATATTTTTTAAATAAACATTTTTAGTATCAAAATTTTAAATTAATTAATTATAAAAATAATTTTAGAAAGTAATAAAAAAATTATCTCAAACAAAACCCAGAATTAAACAAAACAACTTCAAATAGCGGTGTAAAAACAATCTAATCTAGTCAATCAACTTATTAATGGAGCTCAAGCTCAACTCCAACTATTTTATTAAGCTCGGTCTTGACTCTTTAAAAATTTTATAGATTTAAGCTCGTTTGAAAGGTTTCAGCTTGACTATATTATTGAGCTCAATTTTTTTAAATTTTGAATTAAATGTTTAGTTTTTATATATATTTTTTATTTTTAATATACAATTTTCCGCCACTGGTTACGTCGCCCATCTCACCGGCGATGTCTCTCCACCTCTCGCCGACAATCAGACCGCCTACACAGCCTGGAAACTGGTTGACAGCACATTGATCTCGGCCCTCTTCTCTACTATATCACCCTCTATCTTACCTTACGTCATCAGCGCCTCCTCGGCCTCAGACGTGTGGCTGATTCTTGAACGCAGGTTACAATCCTCATGTCGTTCTCGAGTTCTCCAACTCAAGAATGAACTTCATCATCTCCAAATGAAAAATCTCTCCATGCAACAATACTTAACTCAAGTCAAGACTATCGTGGACAATATCGCTGCATCCGGCTCCAAAGTTGATCCCGAAGACATCATTCTTTACACCCTCAATGGACTTCCCGCCGCCTACAACTCCTTCAAGACTTACATTCGCAACTCCTCTGTTCCAGTCATCTTGACTCACTCTATTCACTCCTATGTAGTGAAGAAATCTACGTCAATCAAGAAACTCTCAAAGACAACACCGCCGATCCTACAGCCCTCTATGCTGCATCCCAAAATCAACAACGCGGTCGCAACAATCGGCGTCCGTCCAAGAATTTCAAGAACAACAATCTCGCTCAACACAACTCCACACCGCAATCAGGGAACAACTCCGGAAATCCATGGCAAACATGCCAAATCTGCGGCAAGAATGGCCACATTGCCATCAATTGTTGGCACCGAACTAACTTCAACTATGCTCCTACCATCAGCTACCCACCGCGTGCTCTGCTAGAAAATACTGCTACCCACCCGACGCAAGATTGGGTGTTAGACACCGGTGCTTTGGCTCATCTCACACCAGACAGCAGCAACATTCAATACCCGAACGCGTACCATGGATCTTCGTCCGTCTCTGTAGCCAACGGCTCCACCGTTCCAATCCAGAACTCCGGGCAAGGAATTCTACCGCTGCCGGACACACCTCGTAAGTTACGGCTATGTAATCTGTTACACGTTCCTTCTCTCACACACAATTTAATTTCTGTTTCCAAATTAACCTCCGACAACTCCATTTCGATTACATTTGATTCTAACGGATTTGAAATGAAGGATTCCCAGGATCATCGCCTTCGTAATGGTTTATACCACATACAAGCTTCACCGGATGCTCAGCCTGCAGCCTTCCACACCACCAAGGACTCCTCTTACCTCTGGCATGCACGTCTCGGGCATCCGAACCGGCAGCTACTCAATAACATGGCTAAAGATCTTCCAACTTCCTCTTTTTCTACTATACCTTTTCTTTGTAAATCTTGTAATGTGGCCAAGAGGCACAAGCTTTCTTTTAGACCAAGAACTTCGGCTACCTCCAAACCGTTTGAAATAATTCATTCAGACGTTTGGGGTCCGGCGACAACGCAATCATATAATGGCTTCCGTTACTACGTTCTCTTTATAGATGATTTTACAAAATTTTGCTGGATTTATTTCATGCGTACTAAAAATGAAACTATGTTTAATTTCAAATCTCTGTGTAACATGATCAAAAATCAATTTAGCACTTCCCCGAAAATTCTGCAATCAGATGGAGGTGGTGAATACACGAGTTCTGCGTTCAACAATTTTCTTCAAGAACACGGAATACTACATCACCTTAGTTGTCCTCACACTCCCGAGCAGAACAGGATCGCCGAACGGAAGCATCGCCACATTCTTGACGTCACCTGGGCTCTCCTTCATGCGTCCAACATGCCTCAAAAATTCTGGACAGAAACGATCTCAACAGCCATATATTTAATAAACCGACTCCCTTCCAAACCAACGACATCGCTCTCCCCATATCAACTCCTCCATCAAAAACCTCTGAGCTATACCCACCTTCGCACTTTCGGTAGTTTATGATATCCTTAGCTTAAGCCGTATACCCCCAACAAATTCGCTCCGCGCTCTCAAGACTGTGTTTTTCTTGGTTACTCCTCCAAACACAAAGGTTACAAGTGTTACAATCTACAAACGCACCAACTACACATTTCACGGCACGTTGTATTTCATGAAAACATTTTTCCATTTCATGATCATCTCAACCACCAAATACCAACCTCTACTCCCACCGCGCCTACTGTACCGCCCACCCTTCTTGTTCCTACGTCCACCATCCCCAAACCGAATCCACAACCCACTCTACCTCCTCCGGAAACTCAACATTCAACCATTATTCCCTCTATAACTCCTGATATTCCGACCCAGGATCCCGCATCCAACCAAGACAACAACACCAGCAATGTCAACAATCAGACTCGATCCAAGCATCACATACAAACAAGGTCTAAATCTGGCATCACCAAACCAAATCCTGTTTACTCCCTACACAGCAACACCATCAACACTTCCACCCCGACTTCCTACAGACAGGCCATTCAAATTCCGCATTGGCAAGCTGCAATGGCTGAAGAAATCCAAGCTCTTCAGAAACAAAAGACTTGGACTCTCGTACCCGCACCGCAGAACAAATGCATTGTTGGATGTAAGTGGACTTTCAAAACTAAAACTCTTCCTAATGGTCAGGTGGATCGCTACAAGGCTCGACTTGTAGCTCTCGGCTACGAACAACGACCCGGCGAGAACTATGACGAAACCTTCAGCCCGGTTGCAAAAATGCCAACCATTCGCCTACTTCTCACGATCGCCATCAATCGTCAATGGCCGGTTCTCCAATTGGACATCTCTAATGCATTTCTACACGGGGATCTTCCTGATGATATCTATATGCGCCAACCTCCCGGGTTCACTGACGCCACCTATCCAAGCTTCGTTTGCAAACTCCACAAATCCTTGTATGGCCTTAAACAAGCACCACGGCAGTGGTTTCAAAAGCTTACAACTTTTCTTAAGACAAAAGGATTCAGGTTTAGTCGTTCCGACCCTTCCTTACTTCTCCTCAATCAAAACCAAGTTCACATCTATTTTTTAATTTATGTCGATGACATTCTCGTGACAGACAATGATCAAATCGTGGTGCAATCTCTTCTCAAAGATCTCAAAGCAAACTTTGCACTAAAACAACCTGGACCGGTTTCCCTTTTTCTTGGAATCCAAGTACAGCACAACAAGAACGGCTACTTCCTGTCACAGGCGCATTTCGCTCAAAAAATCCTCACCGATGCGGGGTTTGTCGATTGCAAAGCTGCACCAACACCCATCTCTCCGAACTCCAAGCACATCAACAGCAATCCACAACCCTTTCGTGATCCAACTCTTTACAGACGTCTCGCGGGTTCGCTTCAATATCTATCTATAACCCGTCCGGATATCGCTTTCGCCACAAACCGAGTGTGTCAGCATATGAAGTCCCCAACAGACAATGACTACCTCACTCTAACAAGGCTGCTTCGGTATATTAAGGGAACAATTAATTTCGGTCTTCCCCTCACCACCGGAGACTTGCAATTTCACTCCTACTCTGACGCCGATTGGGCATCCGACAACTCGGATCGCAAGTCCGTCTCCGGCTTCTGCACCTTCTTGGGACCGACTCTCATCTCCTGGTCTGTCAAGAAACAAGTTACCGTCGCCAAGTCCTCCACTGAAGCTGAATACAAATCTCTTTCTGCCGCCACCTCTGAAGTCATTTGGCTACGTCGCCTTGCTGCTGAACTTCACCTACCGCAATACCTCCCTACTCCGATCTACTGCGATAATCAATCAGCCATTGCAATAGCAAAGAATCTGATCTTTCACGCCAGGACAAAGCACATCGAAATCGACTACCATTTCATTCGGGAGCACCTCAATTCCGGCAATATAGTCATTCATCACATTCCCTCGAAAGACCAAGTAGCGGATATTCTTACAAAGCCGTTCGCTCCAGCTCGGTTCAATGAATTGCGCTCCAAATTAACAATTCTTGGCATGAATTCTTAATTTGCGGGAGGATGTCAGCTTAGCATAATCTTACTTTATCCTGTACCAACAATAATTAGTTAATTACTGTCTTTACCTGTTTTCTCTTATTTAAAGGACCCTGTACACACTTTTACTTGTGAATACAATTTTCCTTTTTCCTCTTCTTCACCTGCCTGTGTCTTCTCCTCTCGGCAATCTTGAATTGCTCTCACAAATATCGTAACAAAAAATTGATATAAATGAACAGTGCACAATCAATATTGGAGTCGCACTACTCACCTATCCAATTTTGGCGTGAGATTTAGTATTTGAATGGAGTGAACGGAGGACAGCATATCACTA